AAAAAAAAAAAAAAACAGTGAAGTCTTTTTGCTGCTGTTGCAGCAGCAGGCAACACTACTTTTTTGAAAACTAATTCAATTTGAATATGCATCAGCAATAAGTAAAAAACGTTAGGTAGAAAAAAACCAAAAGAAAAAAAAATAAAATGAGAAAAAATTGTATGAACTAACCATAACCTGATGATGCATTGAAAAAAATATATATATGTTCGCAAGAAGCAATTGTTTAAGCACTGAACGGAAGAGACCTAAAAGCTAAGACGATTGATGCAGACGGACTGTTCAATACATTCTGTGACGGTATGTTAAACGAATTATGGCCTTTAATCAGTGTACGTCGTACGTATTTTCGAATTGTGTTCAACAAAATGGTTCAACAATTTTCGTTTTGTTTCCGTCTACAAGCAGATGGTTTCTGAGTGAAAACACTAACAATGTTTAAAATTTCGTTGTCACCCAACACTAACCAATAACTATCTACTAATCTACTGGTTAATGCCGCGAGTGTTGTCTAAGGAAGTTACCAGAAAACCGATTAGATGAAAGCAACAATTCCCAACAACACTGGCAGTAAACTAAAAGTCTTTAGCAAAAATATTAATGGGTCGAAATTTGGCGGCAGGAAAAAAAGACAACAGAACAAACAGAATAGTGCAACTAAAAGGAACCACGCTAAACATTTATTGTTAAGATAGACAAAATTAAGATTGAAAAAAAGAAGCTGTAAAGTCGAATGCAAGTTGCTTACATATGCAAATTTATAAGATGAGAAGAAGAAATTTACTCTAATCAGGCGCACTTTTCAGCATAAAGAGTATTTTTATAGAGAAATCGTATCTGCTCCTTAGTTTCAAAATGATATTCCAACTCTTGGTTCGATCAAACACGTTTCTTACTAATTAGTGCCACAAGCTTAACTTAGCCGAAACAACCTTGGCCTTGTTATGACCGTCCAGCTAGAGATAAAAATGCCACTAAATTGGTCTATTTTACTGTACCAGTAAAAAAATTTTTTCTTCTGCTTATCGACAAAACACTGCAATTTTTTAAATCAACTACCACAAAGTTCCCAAAAGTTTCCCCTACATTATTAACGCTAAATCGTCTGTAACTGCAAAACCTTAAGAACGCTTGCATTTCTATACAACGACATTTGGTACAAATGATTTTTTTTTGCGACCAGACAAAACATATACAAGTTGAGGTTTTTCTTCTTTTGACAGGGAAAAAAGTTTTATTAAATACAGTTATGTCTCGTTATCAAAAAGTTTCATCCAGATTTTCAAACAATATATCACTCAAAGTCTGAAAATAAAGTCTGATTTAACTTTCTGATGTCGTGTAAGGTATAACAATTTTGCTTATTTTCAGCAGCTATTAGTCCTGTTTTTTTGACGCTATTCAGTGCAGAAAAAATTGTTTTCTGCATGGTGAATCAGACCAGTGTTGCGTACCTGATATTGTTATGAATAAACGTTGTCTGAAAAAGTCGCATAGCCCTGAAAAAACAGCAGAAAAGGAATTGTTTAGAAAGAAGAAATTAATGAAAAAGATGAGAAGAGGGGTGACTTTATTAATTTGTATCATCATTACGGTTCAGTGAGTTATAAAATATTAGCAATGTACAGTCCGATATTATGCTTAGGTATCATTTGCTGAAGAATTTGCTGAAAAGCTTTATGGAGAGGGGAATGAACAACATTCAAAATTACCGAAATACTGGTGCATGCAAAAAGGGCTTTGCGAACAAAAAATTCCAAAGAATTTTCACTCTGCAACTGTATGTTTTGAAACTTACATTTATTAATTGAGCTCCTTAAGAAGTGTTTTGATACTACCACCTGCTCCGTACAATGATTTCTTCAACAGCTCTCGACTTTCAGTGGTGGTTT